AAGTCCGAATCCACAGTACTCATAAAAGAGTAGGGATGTGAATGTAGTACTTCCAGATTACATCCATACTATATAGAACATACTCTTTTTGCGGCCGTGAAGTAATTACTTATTCAAAAAAGTACCTACTGGAGAGTATGCAATTTCAGAGGCAGCCAAAGTCTAAAAACAGACGCAGGAGGTCTATGGAACTGTGGGAAGACGGCATTATGGGTAACGTAGTTTACTTGTACTGCAGTTACACAGCTACTCATTATTTTTAGTAACAGACTGTTTTATAAACCACGATTTAAAACAAACGCGCTCTTCTGAACTGAAGTACACTGGTTTTCTGAACAGCTGATGTGAAAGGGGTCGAGACACGGGTTCTGTCGAGGATTGCACCAGTGTTTTGTAATCCATTCACAAAGAAACTGCTGTTGAAAGATGAAGCAGATGTTTTGGATCTGACTGTTACTGCATCGCAAAGCTTCATGATGCTTTGTATATTTAAGGATGTTTACAAAGCACTCGCGTGCAATACTTTTTCCCTATATTAAGTAAAGATCTTGTTCCATGAAGATATTTTGTAAATTTCCTACTGTAAATATATAACTTAATTTTTGATTAGTAATATGCATTGCTAAGAACTTCATTTGAACAACTTTAAAGATGATTTTCTCAATATTTAGATTTTTTTGCACCCTCAGATTCCAGATTTTCAAATAGTTGTATCTCGGCCAAATATTGTCCTATCCTAACAAACCATACATCAATGGAAAGATTATTTATTCAGCTTTCAGATGATGCATACATCTCAATTTAAAAAAATTGACACTTAAGACTGGTTTTGTGCTCCAGGGTCACATATGTGTAAATGGTTTGTAAAAACAAACCAGTTTGACCCAGAAAAGCATTGAGCTTGTGTTTCACGAAGGCTGAATATCTGCATCATCTCCAGCATTGAACACTAGTGCGGTGTTTTGAGAAAGCTGAGCAGATGCTAATAAGCGTTTTCTCCTAAGCTAGAAATAAAGGTGTTTAGTTTGGTGTTGATGTTCTGTAGCAGACAGCAGAAGAACGTCCCCATCTCTTGGAGCGGCTGGGCGAGTTCACTTGAAACTATATGAAAGAGACCAGAAAGCCCCGGAGTGCTTCCACACGCTGACTGTACACACAGAGCTGTGAGCACCAGCACGAGCAGCAGCAGCACCACAACCGCCGGAGATGAAGGACGACGCCGGAGCCGAGCTCCATCAGCGGCCTGAGCACCGGTCCTCGAGCATGATATTTCAGGAACAGGAGCGTCTCTCAGACCTCTGATGGTCACGTCACACCAGTGCTCCTCGAAGAAGCGCTCTGCCCGCGGAGCCACGTGAAGGCTGGGGATCTCCGGCAGCGGCGTCTGGATCAGAGCGTTCACTCGCTCCCTCAGCTGATGCAGCTGCTCCAGATACGCCAGCGGACACTCCTCGCTCTCCACGGTGGAGCTGAGGGACAGCAGCTCGCTGTGCTCCTCCTGCATGTCCTTCACCTGCTGGATGAGCGGATCGTAAGCGCTGGCTAGCAGCACGCTCGCCCCGTCCAGAGCCTGCATGAACCGCTCCTCCTTCTGAGCCAGGATGAGGTCAAGGCCCTGGAAAAACCGTGACACGACCTCGCGGTCATTCTGAACCAAAGCTTGGCTGCGTTCCTTCTCCTGCGCCAGGCGTTCGGCCAGACCGCAGACCTCCTCCCAGCGCAGACTCTCCGTCAGCCGGCTCTGGGCGCCGCGCTCCTTCACGCAGGCCGTCTGGAGGTCGTCGATGGCGTGGCCTTGGTGCTGGCCGACCGTCAGACAGAAGCCGCAGATGAGCTTGCGGTCCTGGACGCAGTAGACGTTGAGAGGCTGGCGCGGGTGCTCGGGGCAGGTGGGGGGTCGCTCGCGCTGGTACTTCTCCACGATGGCCCGCAGGCAGACGTTGACCGGCAGCGCGTCCACGCCGTTAGTGGGCAGCTCCACCACGCTGCGGCAGCTGGGGCACTTGAGCGGCAGACACAGGGGACGCCAGATGGAGAAACTGACGGAGACCTGCAGCACATTCTCCAGACAGCTCCTGCAGAAGGTGTGCGAGCAGGGCAACACTCTGGGGTCAGAGAAGAGAGCGTAGCACACCGAACACGTCAGATCCTCCTCCAGATCATCCATCATGGGGGAAATGCAGCCAACAGCGGTTTACCCTGAAAAGAGAGATTGAGATGTCAATAATTTTATAAAGACACAAGTGGTCCTTCTCAGGTTTATATTCAGAACTGCCCACGTATCATTCATAAAGCTTTATAGATCAGTTTATTTCAAATGTATGTTGAATTACTGCCGTTTTTGATCCAGGGCTTGATTTGGGATTGTTCACCCAAGAATTGGTGAATTCGCTCTGCTTCGTGGGATTTCAAGACTTGAGTTTATCTTCAAAACAGATATTTTCAATGAAGCCTGAGACTTCTGTTTGACACTTTAAACCATTTGTAAAAGAGAAATGAACATAGAGCACATCTGCTGTACCTGCTTCACACTCGGCTTCATTAAAAACGATTTAATTTGTGTTTGAAGATGAATGAAAGGATGAAGGAATGATCAGGTGAACTATCCCTTGAAGTAGTGTTCACTGGATTGTACAATGGATTTAACAACCTACTGATTGCTCAGGTGACAAAACACAAAATATATTTCTAAAAAAAAAAAAGAACTTTTAAAAGTAGATTGTTGTAAAAGTCATGTGATCCAGGACATTTTTACATTATTTTTTACTATGTCTTAAGGTCCATTGGGGACTTGTTAGCATGCTGTTATACATGCCTTTTAGTGCAGATTGTTTTATTCTGGTCACAGACCTTAAATCTAGTATTTATATTATAAAATTATGACCGTCTAAACAAACCAGCAAGACATTTTCAGACAGAATGAAGGCTGATTGGAGACTGGTTCACATGCCTGTGCTGCTTGTATGTACACAGTGCTGCTAAACAAAAGTAACTAGTGTTGAGAGAGTTCAGTGTCTACAGACAGAAGTGTCCCGAATCACTTTCTACAAGAACCCCGCTGTGACAACTTGCCCCATCTGTGTGTTCAGAACGGGTATTATTTAATCAACTTATGTATTTTTTATTTTAATATTAATACAAGCTAAATATCAATACAGTAAAATATAAGCACTCTCCGTTTCAATTAATTTAACACAAATATACTTATTGACGTATTGATGAGTAAGGCGACATCACCGAAACAAAAAAGCTATCAGAAGTTCTTCAAACACCATCAACATGCTCATTACCAAGACAACGTAATTACACGAGGAAACATTAGAAACTGATTAGGACTCGGAAAATGTAGAAACATGTTAAAGTGCATTAAAGACAGAAATAAGCGCTCTGACCGTCAGAAGCAGTGCGAGTCCAGCGGACTGACAACACGACATGCGCATGCGCACACTCACTGCTGTCCACCAATCACAGCTCTGGATTCAACGCGTCTTCAATGCAACACTTGTTGCGTCTTAAGAGAAGGAATGTGATTGGTGGAAAGTTGATGTTGAAACCCGCATGTCCGTTATAACTGTGTGTGTGTGTGTGTGTGTGTGTGAGAGAGAGTGTGAGTGTGTGTGGCCATTACCATCCAGGTGCCGAGGAACACGATCTCTGCATGTGTTCAGGGAAGGGCTCACTGTGACAGACACGTCTGGTAGCAGCAAAGATGTGTGTGTGGTACTGCGTGTATCTGGTGAGTAGCTTAAAGTTATATGTTCGGCTGCAGCATCTTATGTTGTACTTTGGATGGTGGTCTCTAGCATGGGACAATGCTTTTCCCACTCAATAAATGAAATAAAGGCTGCCATACATGTAGAGATGCCGATTTCAGAAAAAAATGGAGTGGGCTCTTAACCGTTTCCAGAGCTGTATATGCCATATTTGTAATTTTGAGTAAACTGGATCTGTGCAGGTAGTTTACAGAGTTTCTGATATAAAGACACAAATGTCTGAACTATGTTTCAGAGGTGCTGTATGAGGACGTTCAGTACTTTGTGTTCATCATAGTGTTGGGGACGCTGGCTGCATCTCTTATGCTGTGCATGTGGCTCTTGAATAAACTATACTACTTCATAAAGGCCTGGAGACAACGGAGATGCTTACCAGGTAACACACTACAGTTACGGTCATCTACATGTATAGAAAGTTGCCACACAAGTGTCTGAATGAGTGTCTGCTTTAATAAAGATATTTAATGCTCGTGTCAGACCACACACTCACTGACGGGTGGAAGAGGAAACAATCAGGCCGTCTGATCCGTCAGAAACAGTGTTCAGCAGAACATCAATGTTTAGAAGACGCAGTCTGACCAGTTCTGCAGTGCTGTATTCTCTATAGAATGAGATGTTTGTATTCTACACAGAGCACACAGAGACTGAGCTACAGCCGCTGTGACGAGAACAAGCGCTGACGACGGTAGAGCATCTTCCATCAGAGTTCTCTCTGAACATCGCTACACAACATGCTGCTGTGCCCAGCGACAGGAAGTGCCACAGTCGCAAATGGTCAGAGGACTTCCTTTCTGGTACCAGACGTCCTTTGTGTGTTATTTTTAATTGCTAAAAGTTTTTGAAAATCATCGGATATTGCAGGGGCACATTTCTCTGTGGTTCAGGTACCAATCCTAACAGAATTCCTCAGTCATAATATTTGGTTTGACAAAAAGATTTAAAAGTGGCTCAATGTCATGATTGCTAAATAGTAATGTCTAACAAATAACATATTTAATATGTTTTTGTTTTGTTTGAGAGTTTTGGCCGAGATGGGTCTGATCTTTTTGTGTGTAAAGGTTCAGAATAAACATCTTTGCAGAATGATGAATACCTGCACTGGTTGCTCTCATTAAATGTAGAGTTTTGCTTGATCTTCTATTTATCTCAGTTTGTCTTTTCTGGTGTATAGAAGGATCGCCTTCCTCTGTTTGTACAGACTTGCTTTGACAACAATGAAAACTGCAGATCTGGAAGTACAAATGTTTTATTTCCAACACGTGCTTTGGCCATCGCTGACCTTTTCTTAGAAAAATGGCATGGCGACTCCAGAGGTGAAGCCCGAGAGCGATCAGAGTGAAGAGACGCGTCAGACAGATGCGAGACACGACTGCTGCGGCTCTAGGGACACGGGGTCAGGGCCGCCATCAGCAGCTCCATCTTGTACACAAAGTTTCTTCCTTCCATGCGGCCCCAGTGCACCTCCCTGTAAGGACCCCTCAGGTGTGTCCATCTGGCGTCCTGCACCGCGTCGCTCTTGGGCAGCTCTTTGGCTTGATTGCGTGGGAACTGAACCAGCACCTTACAGCCGCTCTCTGGACCGTTGCGCACTGCAGACAGACACGAAACACGGGCTCTGAATATATAAAGGGTTTATTTACTGTCACTCAGCTTCATCATGCATCACTGTTGATGGATCTCTATGAGCTGCAGTGAGGTCAGCTGTAATATAGCATGTGTAACGCTGGCTCAGACGCACCTGAGATGGCATGTTCTCCGCTGGGAGACGCGACCGTGATGGCGGAGGCGTTCCCGATGCTCTCGATGGGGCCGAGGCCCACGTGATTACTGAAGCTCAACACGTGCCAGCCCATGACTTTAGCCAGCTGCTGCACAGCGTGCAGATTTGAGATCAGTGTTAACGCTGTGTTGAGTAAGTAAGGTTTATGCAGAAATGTGTCGTGGTGAGGCCTGTGCTCTGCCACCGTTGTGACGGCATACTTGCAGATCTGCTCGTATCCCTGCGAGGTGATGAGCACTTTGACGCTGGACTCATACACAGAGTTGATGTTGGACCAGTGAGCCTGGATCTGAGGGTCCTCTATACGACTGGCCAGACTGTCGATGGTCCGCGCCGTCCTGAAACAGAAAGAACCAAGAGATACTTGCTCAGACCTTTGCTCAGTGTTTACAATATACACACCTGATGGAAACAGATCAGTGAAAATTATGAAAGACCTTTGACTTAAAATATATATATATTATGCAAAGGCATGCACATTTAAATTAAACAAAAATGTATTACTATTTTGTCTGCACTACATCTTTAAGTGTTTCTGGATTTTGCTGATACTAATTTCATTTGATTGGTAACAGCTTTATAGTGTCTTGTTATTCTAAGGGATGCACACATCTAATAAGGTTGGAAAAAATGCCCTTATAAAGGTCAAACTGCCTCTGAAAATCAATGTAAGGGGTCAAATATCACAGTGTGAACTGACCAGCACACAGATGTGAGTCAGCTGATCACCACAGGCCTAAACCAGCACAAAAACACTAAATATTGTCTAATTATGGCTGTTGACAAAAAAGCCCTATGTCTCTATTTGTATTTTGTTTGTATAGTCTCTCTAACACTCGTTTCTTTACCCGGTTTGACAGTTCAGACGCAGCCTTCCGTGACTCCACTGTATTCATATGTGATTACTAGATCATCTTCACTACGTGGGAAGGCACCTCGAATCAGTCACTCTCTGAACTGTGCTGTGTTTTGAACTCTTCTGTCAAATGTCGGTGCACGCATGAGGCACCTGCTCCTCAGGAAGATGTGTTTGGCCTGTTTGATGATCTTCTCCAGGAGTCCCTCGCTCTGCTGCAGCGAGCTGATCTCTGCTTTGTCGTAGGCCATGGGTCCCGCCAGACGCAAGCGCTTGTGGCCGAACGGAGAGCTGGCAGGATGAGGCATCACCACCGAGCTCAGCGTCTGCTTGTGGAACTACACACACACACACACACACACACACACAGATGAGGAGGCGGAGGAACGGCGCTCCAGACTCGTGCGTCTGCTGTGATGTGTGTGTACCTCTCGGATCAGCTGGTGGAGGTTGTGCTCTAACACATACAGGTGGTCGTCTGGTTTGCTCTTGTCTGGTGAGGCTCTCTGGCTTTTCTTCTCTCCAGTGGAGTGACAGAGAGAGATGGACAGCTGCAGACCTGAACACACACACACACACACACACACACACACACACACACACAGAGAGAGTCACACTACTAATCATAACAGATGTTTGCTGTTCTTTTAGATTCACTGTTAAATCATGAATAATGATAATGAGAACAAAAAATATTTTTTAAGGCATTTATTAATCTTCGTTATTGCTAATTTCAACATTCACTAATGCATTATTAAATTCAAAAGTTGTATTGGTTAATATTATTTATTTAATGGATCTGAGCTAACATGAACAGAAAAGATGCACAGATCCTGTAGCTGATGTATTGCTCATTGTTAGTTAATGCAGTAACCAACGTTAACTAATGGAATCTTGTTGTCAAGTGTGACCATTAATACTAAGTACTCACACAATGCATTAATACTTCAGTGTGCTGTGTGTGTCTGTCTGTGTGTGTGTGTGAGAGTGTCTGTTTGTGTGTGTGTGTGAGTGTCTGTGTGTGTGTGTGTGTGAGAGAGTGTGTCTGTCTGTCTGTGTGTGTGTGTGAGAGAGAGAGAGAGAGTGTGTGTGTGTGTGTGTGTGTGTGTGAGAGAGTGTGTCTGTCTGTCTGTGTGTGTGTGTGAGAGAGAGAGAGAGAGTGTGTGTGTGTGTGTGTGTGTGTGTGAGAGAGTGTGTCTGTCTGTCTGTGTGTGTGTGTGAGAGAGAGAGAGAGAGTGTGTGTGTGTGTGTGTGTGTGTGTGAGAGAGTGTGTCTGTCTGTCTGTGTGTGTGTGTGAGAGAGAGAGAGAGAGTGTGTGTGTGTGTGTGTGTGTGTGTGAGAGAGTGTGTCTGTCTGTCTGTGTGTGTGTGTGAGAGAGAGAGAGAGAGTGTGTGTGTGTGTGTGTGTGTGTGTGAGAGAGTGTGTCTGTCTGTCTGTGTGTGTGTGTGAGAGAGAGAGAGAGAGTGTGTGTGTGTGTGTGTGTGTGTGTGAGAGAGTGTGTCTGTCTGTCTGTGTGTGTGTGTGAGAGAGAGAGAGAGAGTGTGTGTGTGTGTGTGTGTGTGTGTGAGAGAGTGTGTCTGTCTGTCTGTGTGTGTGTGTGAGAGAGAGAGAGAGAGTGTGTGTGTGTGTGTGTGTGTGTGTGAGAGAGTGTGTCTGTCTGTCTGTGTGTGTGTGTGAGAGAGAGAGAGAGAGTGTGTGTGTGTGTGTGTGTGTGTGTGAGAGAGTGTGTCTGTCTGTCTGTGTGTGTGTGTGAGAGAGAGAGAGAGAGTGTGTGTGTGTGTGTGTGTGTGTGTGAGAGAGTGTGTCTGTCTGTCTGTGTGTGTGTGTGAGAGAGAGAGAGAGAGTGTGTGTGTGTGTGTGTGTGTGTGTGAGAGAGTGTGTCTGTCTGTCTGTGTGTGTGTGTGAGAGAGAGAGAGAGAGTGTGTGTGTGTGTGTGTGTGTGTGTGAGAGAGTGTGTCTGTCTGTCTGTGTGTGTGTGTGAGAGAGAGAGAGAGAGTGTGTGTGTGTGTGTGTGTGTGTGTGAGAGAGTGTGTCTGTCTGTCTGTGTGTGTGTGTGAGAGAGAGAGAGAGAGTGTGTGTGTGTGTGTGTGTGTGTGTGAGAGAGTGTGTCTGTCTGTCTGTGTGTGTGTGTGAGAGAGAGAGAGAGAGTGTGTGTGTGTGTGTGTGTGTGTGTGAGAGAGTGTGTCTGTCTGTCTGTGTGTGTGTGTGAGAGAGAGAGAGAGAGTGTGTGTGTGTGTGTGTGTGTGTGTGAGAGTGTCTGTGTGTGTGTGTGTGTGTGTGTGTGTCTCTGTGTGAGTGTGTCTGTCTGTCTGTGTGTGTGTGTGAGAGTGTGTGTGCATTGCTTGTGATGTTGCTCATTTATAAGTGGCTTTGGATAAAAGCATCTGCAGAATGAATGAGTGTAAATACCAGGAAAGGGTTGAGAGATGATCTGGTTCTTGACGACGATGTGAGGAATCTGTGATTTGATCTGAACAGCTTCACGTGAGAGCTGAGCAAAGATCTCCTTACACAGCAGCACATTCTGAGCCGCTTCCAGCTTCAAATGCCACATCTGAGAGCCTGAGAGAGGAACACATGATGAGACCGAAAACCAGAGCTGCTGCTGGAAGAACAGAGCAGAAAACATGCATTTGAGATGAACCCAAAACAAGGTGAAGAAAGCAGAACTTTGAACCCCATTTATTAAAACAGGCTGAACTGCAGAAATGAATGAAACTGATTATACTAGTGAGCTTTAAATCAGAGGAGCTTTAAAATATCTGGGAAGTGTCCGACTGGCATGACGAAATGAAGAGTTTGTCATCATTTACTCTCCATCATATCCCTCCAAACCTCTCTGACTAAAAGACGATATTCTGAAAAACTGAAGAAGAAAAAGTCCATACAATGGAAGTCAACCGTCACTAAAACTGCTTGGTAACGTCTATTATCTAAAACATCTCTTTTTCTGTTCCACAAACAGATATGAACAATATGAGGATGAGTAAATGATGACAGAATGATCATTCTTGTGTGACTGATCGCAATAACGAAAATACTTCTGATATTCACAATCATAAATGTTCTATATGGGCCACACCGATTCCAAGCGTAATATGCCTGTATTCTCAGCCATCAGTCTTCTATCTAGAAAGGCGAGTATTGTCTGAGAGCAGCACCTCGAGCTGGCTTTACCGGGTTTGGCTTTGGGCTGTCTTCTGAAGAGACTGACTGTGCCGAGGTCTCCGATATCAGCAGACTGCTTCTGAATGGACACCTGGAGAGAAACACACACACACACACACGGTTCATCTGGTGAAAACAACATGTGATGCCTGTGCTCACAGGCGAGTTATAGATAACTGAATATTACTTTAATATACGCCGACCCCTCCAGGTCGCTGGGGATCTGCACGTTGAGCGGACAGTAATCGTCAGGGACTTTCTTATCCAGGTCGATGTCTGTGTTCTTGATGACCTCAAACGTGCCGTGATGGGGGAACAGAGACCCTGCAGAGCAACAGCGCATGTTAACATAGACACTTCATAGACATGAGAGAGGTCAGCACACGGATGAGAGCGCTGCATTACCGGCGCTGCGGTAGCTCAGATCGCCCAGGATCTTGTGCCCGACCTTGCGCAGCTTCCACTGTGAGCGCAGACGCAGCAGCTCCGAGTTGAAGTCCCGCTGTCTGCGCTGCTCCTGGTTCTCCGCCAGAGACTTGGTGAGTTTCTCGGCTCCTTTCAGCAGCAGCTGGGCCGCCGTGGCCAGAGACTTCTTCTTGCTGATGAGCTGGAACACCTGCGGGGTCTAAACACAGCAGACGCGTCACGAGGAGCGCTGAGCCCGGCCCGGTGGAGCGCGACTGGTGTACCTTGGTCAGAGCGGGGTCCTGGGACACGGGGTCGAGCGCCATGTACTTCTTCTCTTTGAGCACACTGAGCACGTCGTGCAGCACACACATCTCTGTGAGAGCGCTGCGCAGGTTATTCCTCACCGAGTCCCACGGCCACAGCGAGGGCTGGAACTTCACCGTCCCTGTCAGCAGAGAGCTGTGCTTGAGTCACGATCATCAATGAGCCGCAGTGACAGAGGAAAACATCTCCGAACTTACCCTCGTCCTCCTCCGGCTCAGGTTTGCCCCACGGCTCCCGGCTCTCCCGCTCCGGCCCGTCCTCGTCTGAGTCCGAGCTCTGGTCGAAGTCGATCCGCTGCGCCAGCTTGGCCAGGTTCTGAGACATGGAGAGCAGCGGGACATACGTCTCCAGACCGTCCAGAGACACCTCCTGCACCTGACGCTCACACTGAGACTCGATGCTGACGCGCACCGCCGGACCTCCAGACATCATGCTGACCGCTGCAGCTCTGCACACACACACACACACACACACACACAGACACCATACACACACACACAGAGACACACACACACAGAGACACACACACACAGAGACACACACACACAGAGACACACAACACACACACACACCAGAGACACACACACACACACACACACATTACTATGATGTCTGAGGAGGGAGCTCATAGTTTTGACACAGTGATACCAGAACAGGATTTCTGCAAGTTTTATGAAGGTAAATTAAAGACTTTTTAACACTTGTTAAAGAAAATGTAAGGAATAAACTGAAGGGAACACAATACATCAATAAGTTCTCTTTGAGGAGAACACATCGTAACCACTTCAGAATTTAAACATATCTCCCTACTGACCAATCTTTACTTTGCATCTCAAGCATCTTGAGTTAAGGATGTGTAGATATTTATATTAGAAAACAAGACAAATATATTCATTTCTGCAGTGCATGCAACATTTAATGCCATGACTTAATGAATTAAGACTTTCTGATCTGACTTAAGGCTTTAATTTGTGGAAAGGAGATTTAAGACCTGCAGAAATGTGATCTAGACTCTAGTTTAGAGTACAACAAACAGAAACGCTCTGTGTAAGCTGCTGCAGTGTTTGAGACTCCGTCAGGTCAGAGATGAGATATTATGAAGCCGCACACTTACATCTGTGAAGGTGATCTGTTTCTTTCTTTGTGTGTTTGTGATTCTCGAGCAGCGAGACTCCGCACTGCTGGACGAACGAGAGCTTGCTCAAATCTCGCGAGGCTTGGCGGGGACAGGGTTGCCAGGTTTTCTCTACAAAACTCGCACAATTGCTACTCAAAACTATTCCAATCGCGTTTCGGGGGGTAAAATTCACGTTTTTCTTCCCCTGGTAAAATTCATATTCGAGGGGATAAATATCACGTTATTGGGGTCGCTTCAACCCGCGGCTAAAGTGCTAAAGTAGCCTAATTTCGAGCGAAACCCGCGGACCTGGCAACACTGGGCGGGGGTCAAAGTTGAAACGAGTTTTAGGAAATAGTGTTTTTTTATATATTTACAATAACAGTTGCACTTTATCTCCCTCGTACGCATTAATGTTTGCTGTATGTTTCGTGAATAAATAAATAATTCAAGCCAACAACGCTCGCCGTTCCGAGGGCGGTTTAAATAGCGGAAGTGACGCGTCTTTGAAGGAGCCGTTGGAGTTTGTTGACAAGGAGCCGATCAAACAAGTCTCTCATCCGCATGAGCGCTGATACTGTCCGACAGAAGAGCTCTGTGTGCGAAGAGATGAGGGGAAGAGTTAGTCTGAGGCTCAGTCCGAATGAGGAGGCGCAGCTGGAGAGAGAGGAGCTGCACAGGCGGAGGAAACTGCGTCTACAGCAGGTCAGAGAATACTGCGGTGTAACGTTAGTGTTAGCTGCTTCTCGTTTATTTAACGTTACTGTTTCAGCGACTGCTGCCTTGGGTTTCACACTCTTGCGTGCAGGGAGCCATGACTAACGTACTTTAAATAAACTCCTCGGCTCTGCTAAAGACGACTGCGAGGCTTGAAGAGTGCGGTGTGTTGTGTCCGTGTTTGTGTGCAGGTGCGCGAGCAGGAGCGCTTCATCGCGCGGCAGGTGCGCACGCAGGTGCAGGAGCGCAGACGGCAGCAGATGCAGACGCTCGCAGACTCACTGCAGCTCCAGTGGCAGCAGCAGCAGATGCTCAGACTGCAGGCCTTATCCACACACTACCAGCACAGCCTGAGAGCTGTCGGACACGGACACCGCAGCGCTCGGGAGAATGTGAGTGAGCCAGTGAACATCAGAGTGGTCAGGGACACCTGAAGAGTCTGTCTGTTTTAGTCAGTTCCTTTAGAGGAATAGTTCACCCAAACTAGGGATGTAACGGTATGAAAATTTCCTATCACGATTATAGTGACCAAAGTTATCACGATTATCAATATTCAAACATGTGCTCACCCTCAGGCCGTCCGAGATGCAGATGAGTTTTTCTTCATCAGATCTGGAGAAAAGTAGCATTGCATCAGTGTCTCAGCAATGGATGCCCTGCAGTGAATGGGTGCCGTCAGAATGAGAGTCGAAACAGCTGATAAAAACATCACAATAATCCACACCACTCCAGAAAAGCTGCATGTTTGAAAGAAACAAATAAGACGTTTTTATCAGCTGTTTGGACTCTTATTCTGACGGCACCCATTCACTGCAGATCACCTGTTTTCGGTGAACTGTCCTTTAAGCGGTGTGTGTGTATGTGTGTGTAGGAGCCTGATCTGGAGGCGCTGGCTCAGAGGAGTGTGGAGAGACAGGAGCGTGCGGAGGAGAGACATCGGGAGGCTCTGAGAGAGCTCAGCGCCCGCAGACATGAGGAAGAGCAGCAGCAGCGCCGGTCTGCACACATTTCTATTCATGCTCTGGGTTTGCACAAGCTACTTGTGCAAACCCAATGTCTGAAAGTGATCGGACGCAGTTAGACTTTCCTTATGTACATGTCCTGTCATGATCACATAAGCTGTAGTTGATTGTGTTAACAGGCACGCTGACGCGCGGAGGAAAGCTCTGCTGGAGGAGAAGAGGAGAGCTGAGAGAGTGGCCAGTCTGCCGGCGCCTCCTCCAGACCCAGTGGAGGTACAGCCTGCTCTCCTCTGCACGATCAGCTGTTACACAGCACTCCGCACATGTCATTACTGTCATGTTTCCTCTCTCAGAGCATCGGGAAGAAGACGCCGCGTCCGCTCAAGTGTGCAGCAGCAGAGCGTTTCTCTCTCACACACTGTCACATGAGACAAACCGCTGTGGACAGAGAGACTGACACCGAGCAGCAGGTACATGCAGTGCCCACAGACGCGAGGTTATGACATGAAAGAAAAATATACTTGGTGTTTTTGAGCTTTTATGTTCAGTATATTTCTCAATATAGCATTATAGCAGAGCATTACCTCTGATTGAGGTAGATTCTAAATGTTTAATGCAAGGATTAAACTACAGTAAAATCTAGTTAAATATGATCTAGATGCAAGCAAGATGTTTTATTCTTTTATGTGCCCCAAAATAGCAGTACATTATCATAAACAGTTATTAAAAGGATCTTCACACTAAAGGTTGGTTAACATAATTTTAACACTCATATTGTCTTGTGGCTGCTATTGAAAAGGTCTGTATGATAACATTTTCAGATCATCCCCAGTGACTTCCATTATAAGTGCCTCACTGATTTGTGCTTTTTTAGTTTTTTAAGAAAAGGAGGGACAAATTTAAGTAACATTCAAAACTAACATTGAACTTGTGTTGAATATTCCCTCAAGCTTTTCTCAAGTTGTTCTTACTCATATTGCTCAGTGCTGTTGTAACGTGAGCGCTGGTTTTGTGTGGCTCAGCTGAGCGCTCAACAGGCCGCAGCGCTGGAGATCCAGCGTTTGGAGGAGCTGCGGCGAGAGGAAGCTCGTGACAGGCAGGAGCGGCTGGAGAAAGCTCGACTGAGAGGAAACCACGCGCTGCGGACAGAGCAGCACACGCAGGTAGAGCTCTGATCGGAGTCGTCTGTGTGGATTCAGGATGCAGTCGTGAGTGTTTGAGGACTCTGACGCGTCTCTGCCCCGTGTGTCTCTGTGTGTGTGTGTCTCTGTCTGTGTGTGTCTCTGTGTAGGATCGCGCGCGGCTGCTCTGTGAGCTGGAGCGTCTGCAGCAGGCTGATCTCCTGCGCCGCAGACAGGAAGTGAACACCGTCCCAGCGCAGATCTTCCAGCCTCTCTACAGACAGCAAGAGCTGCGAGACGAGCAGCAGCGGGAGCTCGAGATCGCCTTTCAGGACGTCTGCACGGAGGAGCGCAGTATGTGCTCTCACTTCACTGAAACTCCATCACATCAATACACATGTTCCCCAGAATGGAAGGGGAAACTATGAGTGGTGATATGATTAGACCAATAACATATTAAACGTCAGAGCGTGTTGTCCTGCAGCGCTTGTGTTGACTGAGCACTCGTGTGGTGTGTTGTTGTGGAGAGTATGTGATGTTAACGTCTCTCCATCATGTGCACTTCTCCAGAGGTCAAAGGTGACTTGGTGATGCAGCTGGTACCCGAACCTCTTCCTCCTCTGTCCGCCTCTAGTCATGATGAGGAGCTGGATGTGACCCTTGACCCTGAATGTGCACCTGAAGGGGAGGAGCCCGAGACCCCAGGCACTGAAACAGCAGGTGGGCAGCCAATCACGTCACCTGATGGTACAGCAGTCGAGATCTAAACTTTAGTGCTATTCTCGGTTATGTTTCGGCAGCATCCTCTGCTCCTCCGGCTGACGCGGGCAGACGGGCTCTGAGCAGACTGCTGGAGCGCATCAGGAGGCAGAGAGATCAGAGGAGCCGTCAGCAGACCGCAGACATGCCAGTGACGTCACGTGACGCAGACACACAGGAGGAAGCCTTGAGTGTTGAAACAGGATCTTTAAGCAGCCAAGAAAAAGCTTCAGGAGGCAGTTCAGAGCAGCAGACGCCCAGCACAACACACACTGAGGACGGTAAGCATTCAGCTTCACTTCTGCGAAATGTTACACCACTTCAAAGCAGAAACATTATGAGTGAAGCATTCTTGACATCAAGTGCTTCTACATCAATATCCTAACAAACAGAACAACCTAAAGGGCATCTTACACAGTGCATGAGCTTTCCTGGTTGAACTGACCTTGCGTTGTTGTGTAGGGGCTCGTTATGATTTCTCCTCTGATCTCGTTCCTCAGCTCCTGATGTTAGTGATGAAGCCGTGGTGGCAGGATCGGTGCTGCCGGTGGAGGAACGGGTGGAGAGCGAGAGGAGAGCACACACGGACCAGCCGACCCATGTGAGTTGGCCATCACTGTCTGTTTGGATCACAGTCGATCATTAAGCGCGTGTTCAAGCGGCTGAGCTGTGATGAGACTACTCTTCCTGAAGTGCTTGTGAAACACACATGCGCTCTATGAAGGTGCCTACACTTGAACTGAGCTCAGACCTCATGAGGACACCCGCATGCTCTGATATCGCACTTACCAGATTAATAAATACATGGACAAGAAATTTTAAGATTCTGAAAATACAAAATTTTAATTTCTGTACCTGAATGCTACTGTTAGACTGGACCTGTTTCCAAAACGAAGTTCGGATCCTGAGTTTAATATTGGTTAAATAAATTATAATATTCAGTGATGTGTTATGTTCTCTGCATGGACATTAGGTCATGAATATAGTGTCAAGTTATGGAAATGTATTGCTAAAATATGTACAAACCCTGTAAGAAACAGATCTAGCAATAAATTAAGACTCTGGAGTTTCTTGCCATCTTTTAGAGTCTTATGTTACCAGAACAATAATACTGAAGACCATTTTTACAACAATTGGTAGCGGTTGGTAGGCACAAGATGTTGTTGACCATTCTAACTGTGTTCGTATGAAAAGAGAGAGACTGCAGCGTAGCACAGAGATGTTTTCTTGTCTGTGTGGGTAACATGATCTCGCTGGACTCCTCTGCAGGTGGAGGTGCTGTTGAGACGGCAGCAGGAGCAGCTGGCTCTGCTGGAGGAGCTGGAGGAGAAACGCCGTGAGCTCGAGCAGCGCTTGAGAGACACTCAGCACACCAGCTCCACACTGCAGGAAGCTGCTCACAGGCAGAGCACAACACTTCCTGAACCGCCTGCAGAGGTGCGCTCATTCACACCAAATGGAGCGTGAACCATATACTATTGAGTTTAAGTTGATTTT